GGGGGGGGGCGGGAACGCGCGTGCGCGGCCAGAGCGCGGGAACGGCGCGAGGACGCGCGGCCCGCCCGCCGCGGCCGCTCCGCGCATGCGCGGCCGTGAGGGGAAGGCGGTGGAGTTGGTGGAGATCGGTTTGAAATAAAGGCTTTCAAAAATAAAGCGGTGAGAAATGAAGGGGTTTAAAAGGTGTTAAAAATAAAGCGGTGAGAAATGAAGGGGTTTAAAAGAAAGGGCTTAAAAATAATAAGCGTTAAAAGGAAAGGGCTTAAAAGCGGGGTGGAAAGGTGCTGGCGGGCGCAGGCAACGGGGGCATCAGCGCAGGGAAATTGCAATAAAGATGTGAAAATAAAGGTGTTAAAATGACCGAGTTTAAATTTAAATAATTAAAAAGGAATTAATTAAAAGGGGTTAAAACCGCGGTGGAAAGGGATATGCGGGTCAGGGACAGGCGGGCAGCAGGGCAGAGAAATAAAAATAAAGGAGTTAAAAGTAAGGAGATAAAGGAGTCAAAATAGAGGCGTTTAAAAAGGTGAAGTTTAAAATTACAGGATTAAAAATGAAAGAATTGAAAGTAAAGTCCCGGTGAAAAGTGACACGTGGGCATTGGGAATGGGGCACTGGGATGCAGAAATAAAGTTTATAAAATACAGGGACTAAAAGAAAGATTACGAAAATAAAGTCATTAAAATAAATTAATTAAAATGTAATAATTACAAAGATTATAAATGAAGAATTTAAAAATTAAAGAATGAAAATTGAAGGGTTTAAAAGTGAGGTGAAAAGGTTCGTGTGGGGACCAGCAACAGAGGCCTTGGGGCGGAGGAATAAAAATAAAGGGGTTAAAATAAGGTAGTTAAAATAAAGAAGTTTAGAAGAAAAGTGTTTAAACGAAAGGAATTTAAAACAAATGCGTTAAAATAAAATTATTAAAAGTAAAGGGATTAAAAGCAGTGTGAAAAGGTACATGTGGGCATCGAGAAAAGGGGCGCCTTCTACAGGGGCGGGAAAATTAAATGAGTTAAGCTAAAGTAATTAAAAGTGAAGGAAGTGAAATAAAGTACTTTGGAATTCAGGATAAAAAATTCAAAGAAACTTAAAAGGCGTGTGCGCCGCCCGGGAATCGAACCCGGGTCGCAAGAATGGGAATCTTGCATGATACCACTACACCAGCGGCGCGGCTGGTGAGCGGGGTCTGTCCGTGTCCTTCATGATGCCGCTCCCAGCGCCGGCCCGGGCCGTGCTCCCGGCCCGCCCATCGCCCTCTGCCCTTCTCCGCCGCCATGCCGGGCCTCTGCCGGCTCCTGGTCCTGCTCTCCGCGCTCTGCCCGCCCGCCCTCAGCCTCCGCCATGGGCCCTCCAAGATCGGTGCGGACGGGGACAGAGGGGGCGATGGCCGCGAGCTGAGGGAAGGCGGTTGTGTGAGGGACGGGGACTCGGGAAGGGATCAGTGAGGGGAAAGCTGAGGGGGGAGCTCTTAAGGGGATCCGTCAGAGGCGGTGTGAGGTGGTGTCCCTTGAAGGAATGAGGGGATCTGTGAGGAGCAGGGGGTGCCACTGGGATCCTTTGAGGGGATCCCTGAGGAAGGTGCGATGGGGGGACCCCTCAAGGTCCCTGAAGGTCTGGGGGGGGCGTGAGGGGATCTTGGAGAGGCAGCGGATATGAGGGGGTTCCCTTGAGGGGATCGGGGTGGGGTCCATGAGGGATCTGTGAGGGGTTCCATTGAGGGGATCTGTGGTGCAGGGGGCCAGGAGGGATCTGTGAGGGGTTCCCTTGAGGGGATTGGGATGTGGGGTCCGTGAGGGGTCTGTGAGGGGTTCCATTGAGGGGATCTGTGGTGCAGGGGGCCAGGAGGGATCTGTGAGGGGTTCCCTTGAGGGGATTGGGATGTGGGGTCCGTGAGGGGTCTGTGAGGGGTTCCGTTGAGGGGATTGGGATGTGGGGTCCGTGAGGGGTCTGTGAGGGGTTCCATTGAGGGGCTCTGTGGTGCAGGGGGCCAGGAGGGGTCCGTGAGGGGGGTGTGTGAACTGGGCTCTCGTGCGGCTGTGAAGGTGACCGGGCTCTCTTCTCCCAGCCGTGGTGGGCGGCGGGATCGGCGGCTCGGCCGCGGCGTATTTCCTGCGGCAGAAGTTCGGCCGCAGCGTGCAGCTGCACGTGCTGGAGAAGGCAGCGGTGGGCGGCCGGCTGGACACGCTGGACGTGGAGGGGGCCAGCTACGAGTCAGGGGGGTCCGTGATCCACCCCCTCAACCTGCACATGAAGCATTTTGTCAAGGAGCTGGGTGAGCATGGACCCCGCACCTTGGCGTTTCCTAGTCCCAAAATTGTCCCTCAGACCCAAAATTATCCCCCTGGGGTGCTCTGGGTCCCACCCTGCTGGGGGACATCGCCTTATCCATCCCCAGTAGCCCCCCATATCCTTCCCCAATAGTTCCCCTCCTTTTCCCAATATCCCCCCCATATAGTTCCCTAGTGATCACCTTTCTCCAGTATCCCTCCCTCACAGGCCACTTTCCTTCCCAAATACCCTCCATACCCCAGCCAAAGGGGAGTATGGGAATGGTTTCACCCCTCCCCACTTATGGCACCATAAAGGTCCAAAAATCACCTCCAATCACTCCCTGGCCCGTGATCAAGGGCTAATTCCCCTTTCCACACTTTGGCACTCCAATCTTCAATCACTCTCCCTTATCAGCACGAAGCCAGGTTATCTCAGGAAGGTAAAACTGAGGTGGAATAGCTCTACCTTTCCCTAAATTACCTTTTTCTGTCCTTTTCCCAAAGGCCTGTCAGTCGCCTCACCCCAGGGCAGCCTCGCGGGCGTTTACAACGGGGAGGAATTTGTGTTTGAGGAGAGCAGCTGGTCCTTCATCAACCTCCTCAGGCTGCTCTGGCACTACGGCCTGAACCCCCTGCGCATGTCCATGTGGGTGGAGGACATCCTGGACAAGTTCATGAGGTGGGTTGGGGTCCTGAGGGGAGGAAAGTGGGAAAGGACCTTAAAAATACCTCATTCCATGGAGCACCTTCCTCTATCCCAGGGGGCTCCAAGCTTCATCCAGCCTGACTTGGACACTTCCAGGGGTGGGGCAGCCACAGCTTCTCTGGCACAACTGTGCCAGGGCCTCTCCACCCTCATAAAAATCCCCAGCATGGAACCTAAGCCTGCCCTCTTTGTCCTGTCCCTCCAGGCCCTCGTGGGGATCCCCACAGCTCCCAGGGCCGCAGAGCTCATTGGCAGAGAATCTCTTGTGTGCAATTGCAGGATCTACCGCTACCAGATGCACGACTACGCCTTCAGCAGCAACGAGCGCCTGCTGCACGCCCTGGGAGGCGACGACTTCGCGCGCCTGCTCAACCAGAGCATCGACGAGGCCATGCAGAAAGCAGGCTTCTCCCAGAAATTCATCAACCAGGTGGTGTGCCCGGCCATGAGGGTGAATTACGGCCAAGGGGTCACCATCAATGGCTTTGTAGGTGAGTGTTGGAGGTGGCCTCCCGTCCTGGGTGTGGCAGAGTGGTTTGGAGTAGAGATGGTGCTGTGGGCAGCCTTGCCCGTGATGAATTGCAGCTGTATTAATTACCAAAGAGTGGAAGCCTTGCCCTTGATAGGTCGCTGCTGTGTCCAGTAAGGGTGTGTGATATAAAAGAGTGGGTTGAGCAGTGGTGAGGAAGAGGAAGGAGGAAAGAGAGAAGGGGAGGAGTCAGTGTTGCGTGTTGCTGCCCGTTTACAGAGAAAAGATACGAAAGTTTACTGTAGAGGATAATAAAGGGCTGCTGCTTGCACATCGTGGGTGTCAGTCATTCAAGTCCACTGTCAGTGGGGAAAGGTGTAGAAGTTTTACTGAGGGATGATAAAGGGCTGGTGCAGCCCACCAGCAATGGGGAAAGTCACCTGGGTCCACCACCAACCGGTGCTCCGTGTGAGGAGTGAACACTGACAAAAGCCAACAGCCGGGTGCTGGGTTCCTGCTCCCTGGGCTCCAAGCCCTGTGTCCCAAAGGGATGTTTATCCCCCCAGTTTTGCAGTTTGTTTTTCCAGTGTTTCCCTGCTGACAGAGGTGGTTTCCTTGCAGGTGCCGTGTCCCTGGCTGGGGCGCAGTCAGGCCTTTGGTCTGTGAAAGGGGGGAACAAACTTGTGTGCTCTGGCCTCATCTACTCCTCCAAGGCCGAGGTTATCCCGGGAACAGTGGTGTCCATCGAGCCAAAAACCAGACACAAGCGTGGCGGTGAGTGGGGCTGCAGTTCCCATCAGTGGGAGGGGATGGTGACGCTGGAGAGTGACCTCAGCCCCTTGGAGGTTTCAAAATGAAAATTCCTCCCTGGGAGGGTGGAGGGGCTGGGATGGGATTCCCAGAGGAGCTGTGGCTGCCCCTGGATCCCTGGGAGTGTCCAAGGCCAGGCTGGATGGGACTTGGAGCAAGCTGGGATAGAGGGTGTCCCTGCCATGGAACTGGATGGACTTTAGGATCCCTTCCCATCCAACCCATTCCATGAAAACAGGGCTCAAAACCCCGCTGCACAAATTGATAAACCCAGATGTGGGGGCATTTGAGACGCCAGGGACAGTCGGGATTCCCTCCCAGCACGGCTCAGGATAACGGAGCTGCTCTCCACAGGGGACGCGGTGAAGCTCTACGAGGTCACCTACAACACGTCCTCGGGGCTCACAGGGGACACCTACGACATCGTCCTCATCGCGGCCCCGCTCGGCCGCAAGATGGCCAACATCACCTTCCGGAACTTCGACCCTCCCATCCCGGAATTCCTGAATCCCTACCACCAGACCGTCACCACCTTGGTGCACGGGCGCTTGAACACCTCCTTCTTCGGCTACCAGGACCCCCAGGCCTTTCACTTGGGGGCCATTTTCACCACGGACAACCCCAAACTGTTCATCAACAGCCTGGGTGTGGTGTCCCCCGTGAGGGACACGGGCACAGGCGGGAAGCTGCCGTTGCCGTCGGCCGTCTGGAAGGTGTTTTCCAATGAAGAGCTCACCAAGGAGCAGCTCAATTTGCTCTTCTCCTCCTACGACTCGGTGAAGGTGAAGCCGTGGCTGGCGTATCCCCAGTACAGCGCCCCCGAGAAGTTTCCTCCCATCATCCTGCACGAGCAGCTCTACTACCTGAACGGGCTGGAGCGCGCCGCCAGCGCCATGGAGATGAGCGCCATCGCTGCCCGCAACGCCGCCCTGCTCGCCTTCCACCGCTGGCACGGCCACAGCGCCAGCGTCGACCAGGAGGACCTGCACGAGAAGCTCAAAACGGAGCTCTGACACACCCCCAGGGCTTAATTAACACTAATGAACGCTGTGCCTCGCCCCTCCAAGGAGGTGTTTTGTAGAATCACGGAATCCTTACAGTCGGAAGGTCTTTAAAATCATCGTGACCTTCAAGATCTTCAAGAACATCAAGACCATCAAGATGCTGTAATTAACTCTAATGAACTCTATACTTGGTCCCTCTGTAGACGTGTTTCATAGGATCATGGGATCCTTAAGGTTGGAATGATCTTCAAGATCATCAAGACCTTCAGGATCTTCAAGATCGTCAAGATGCCGTAATTAACATTAACGAACTCTGTGCTTCGCCCCTCCAAGGGGGTGTTTCACTGGATCACGGGATCCTTAAAGTTGGAAGAGCGTCAAGAACTTCAACACCATCAAAACCTTCCAGGACTTTCAGGATCTTCAAGACCTTCAAGACCCTCAAGGTCATCAAGACCTTCAAGTCCAACCATCAACCCAACCGCGTTCACCATTAACGATGTCCTCAAGTGCCAAATCCACGCGTTGTTTGGACACTTCCCAGGGTTGATGACTCTACCATAGCCTAGGCTGGACAGCCCTTCCTTCCATGACAAAATTCCTCCCAAATCTCATCTTGCCGTCCCCTGGTGCCACCTGGAAGCTGTTTGGCCAGCTCTGGAGGCAGCAGCAGCAGTGAAGCGTTCCCAAGTAAGCCGGGACATTTTCCTCACACAAACTCCTCAATTTATCCCTGTCTGAGATTAGGGAATTCATTAAAAGTGCCATATTGACCCCAAAAGTGCCCTCCAGCTGGGAATATCGACTCTCTGGCTGTCCATCCCTCTGCCCCAACTTTCCCTGCCAAAAAATAATTCCTCAGGGTGGAAATTGGGGGGAATGGGGTGCTGGGAGCTGCCAGAATGGGTGGGAAAGAGGAAAAACCACCAATATCCATTGCTCTGTTCAGGTATGAAGGAGTAAATAAAGAATTGAACGATGTCCATGATTTGAAAGAGAAAACCACCCAAAACAGTATAAATTTAACACCCACTTCCATAAATTAAAAGTTTTCCATGAGTTTTCCCACGGTTGGGAGCAGAATTATCACCCAGCTGCCAAAAACTGATGCCAGAAAGGCTTGAATTAGGTCAACCATTACAAAATTGATTTAATAACAAAACCAAAATAATTGTACACTCGTGGGTGGCATCTTGGATGAGGGAACGGAACCGGTGGGTTGGGATTTGGGGTTTTCCAGGGGCTCATACTCGTTCCAAAGCTTCCAGCATGATGATGCTGTTCCCTCGGATCACCTGGAAGGGGAAGGTGAGAGCTGTTACCTCTGATCTAAGGCTTCCTTCCTTTCCTCCTTCCAGCTTGTTTCCCCAAAAATCCCTGAAAAATTGGGTCATTCCGCCACAAGAATGAAAATGGGCTGATTTTCATTCACAGTGCTCCCAGTGCCCCCAGCACCCCGCTCCCAGTGCTCCCAGTGCCCTCACCACCATGCCGATGTTGTTCTGCTGCCCGCCCGCCGCCATCTCCACGCACTCGTCGATGACCAGGTTCATGAAGGGGTCGAAGCCCCGCAGGATGCCCTGCACGTGCCGGCCGCCGTTCAGCTTCACTGCGGGAACGGGGGTTAGGGGACACGGCCAGAACGGGACACCTGCCCTCACACTGCAGCCTGGGGCGAGCGGGACCCGCGGGGGGCGAACGGGAAGGACCGACCACAGCCCGTAATGGGATAAGGACAAAACAATGAGTTTCCAACTCGTGTGGTAGTTAAATTAATGAACTATGGCTTAATGAATGAATTGGAATTTAATTAATGGGCTGCGAGGCCTGGAATCAGTCAGGGCGTGCTGCCGGGGCCCGAGCGCCAGCGCCAGCAGCGGGACCGTTCCCTGGGCTCCGTGAGGGGCGGGCGGGGGTCCCCAAACCCGGGCGGGGTCATGCGGGGGGTCCCCAAACCCGGGCGGGGTCATGCGGGGGCTCCCCAAACCCGGGCGGGGTCATGCGGAGGCTCCCCAAACCCGGGCGGGGGCTGCGGGGGGTCCCCAAACCTTGCGGGGTCATGCGGGGGCTGCGGGGGTCCCCAAACCCGGGCACTGCTGGGGGGCGTTCAGGGGATCGGGGCGGGCCGGGGTCCCGGGCCAGGGATCGGGGTGGGATCAGTTCCAGAACTCACACGACAGCTTCTTGTCCATGAACCTGCAAGGAGATGGCAGCGGGTGAGCACCGCACGGGGCAAGAGCCCCCCGCCATTATCCCCTCACGAACCGCCCCCGCCGCCGCCGCCATTACACCGGGGCGCCGCGGTGCACGCCGGGACGCCGGCCAGCGGCGGACCGCGCCGTTGCGGTGCCCGCGTCCCCCCACACCGTGCCCGGCTCCCCTCGCCCCCCGGCCCCTCCGCACGCACTTTTTCAGCTCGGGCGGGTGCGCTTTGCTCATGGCGCCCGCAGTCCCCGGCCCGTCTCTGCCGCGCGCCGCGCTCTGACGTCAGCGCGCCGTGCGTCTACCCGCGCCAGCCAATGGCAGCCGCGCGCGACTCCGCGCCGCTTCCCCGGCAGCCAATGGCGGCCCGCGGCGCGCTACCGCACTCACCCGAGTAGCGGCGCAGCCGGGGGAAGGCAGCGGGGCGGGAAGCAGGGGCGGTGAGGGCAGTGCGCGGCTACACGGGGAGGTACGGCGGCATGGCCGCCTTCGTGCGCGGGCACGCGGTGTGCGGGTGTCCGCGTGCACACCCGTGTGCGTGTGTGTGTGCGTGTGCGCGCGTGTGTGTGTGCGTGTGTTAGGGGACACGGGTGTGTGTGTGTGTGTGTGTAGGGGTGTGTGTGTGTAGGTGTGCATGGCCCAGGGTTACCTCAGGCCAGTGCGGGACCACCCGCACCTGTACCTGCACACCCCACACCTGTACCCGCACATCTGCACCCACACACCTGCACACCTGTACCCCCACACCTGTACCCGCACATCTGCACCCACACACCTGCACACCTCACAGTGCCCAAGCATCATCCCCAATGCCCCCCCTTACCTGCAGTGTCGTCTCACCACCTCGTACCCCCACACCTGTACCCCCACACCTGCACACCTGTACCTGCACATCTGCACCCACACACCTGCACACCTCACAGTGCCCAAGCATCGTCCCCAATGCCCCCCCTTACCTGCAGTGTCGTCTCACCACCTCCCCCATCATCCCCTCACAGCCCCCGCCCCCCATCACCCCCATCACCCCCAGTTCCCCAGCAGCACCCGCTGTTGGTGGGAGGTGCCACCTGGCCTTTAATGAGTTCGTGGGGGGCGTCCCCGGGGGGGTGTCCCGGGGGCGTCCCCGGCGTCACTGCTGGATGTTGGCCAGCCCCTCCCGCATCTTCTTGGCCATGGCGGGCACGAGGCGCAGGTGCTGGTCCCCGCAGGTGGCCAGGCAGGCGTCCAGCTGGCCCCGCACGCGCGGCTCCGAGCCCCCCGAGTCCAGAGCGTCCTTGGCCTGGTCCGAGCACTGCAGCGAGCAGCGGCTCAGCCGGTCCTGGGGACGGCACGGTCACTGGGGGGACACCGGGGACACTGGGGGGACAGCGGGGAGTGGGGACGGCACGGTCACTGGGGGGACACCGGGGGGACTTTGGGGAGTGGGGGGGCAGCGGGGAGTGGGGACGGCACGGTCACTGGGGGGACACCGGGGACACTGGGGGGACAGCGGGGAGTGGGGACGGCACGGTCACTGGGGGGACATAATAGATTT